CCCGAGGACATCAACCAGCCGGGCAGAGGCACCTTCCCCATTAAGGGTCCGGATATTCCAGGTGCATACCCTTAAATCATAGTCCTTTATACGTTTGCCGTGGTCGTCATCATAAAAAGTCTCGTCCGATGCTTTTTAGATTTTTTCATTAGGCGTGGTTTTAACANCCGGGCAGAGGCACCTTCCCCATTAAGGGTCCGGATATTCCAGGTGCATACCCTTAAATCATAGTCCTTTATACGTTTGCCGTGGTCGTCATCAGAAAAAGGGGGTCTCATCCGAGGCTGTTTGCTTCTTTTCATTGGGCGGGGTTTTAACGTGGCGGGACCCAAACCCAGCGCACGCGAAGTTTTACGCCTTCTCACTTTAGCTCGCTCCCAAACGGGTGTTTGGTTGCTACCCAGAGGATACGTGGATATAAATATCCGGACGTTGTGAGCTGCGATTTGCCGGTTTTCCACTTCTGCGCACGGAACCATCCTCCAACAAAAACAAGGGCTACGTCTGTTCTGCCCTCTCGGGATTGGATAGAGAAGCAAAGCGAATGGGTCTGGTGGTGAACGAGGACAAAACGAAGTATCTCCTGTCATCACACAAAGAGTCGGAGGATACGCGTCTTGGCACCCACGTTACTGTTGACAGCTACAAGTTTGGAAAAGTAGACGACTTCGTTTACTTGAGAACCAGTANGTGCTACTTTGGGCTGAGTAGGCAATTGAGAAGTAAAGTCCTCTCTCGTCGTACAAAGATCACACTCTATAAGTCACTCATCATGCCTGTGCTGGTGTATGGCGCGGAAGCATGGACAATGAAAGCATCTGATGAGGCGGCTCTTGGAGTTTTCGAGAGAAAGATTCTGCGAAAGATTTACGGACCTTTACGCGTTGGTGATGGCGAATATCGCAGACGATTTAACGATGAGCTGTATGAGCTTTACAACGACATAGAAATAGTGCAGTGAATTAAAATTCAACGGCTCCGATGGCTTGGCCATTTCGTTCGAATGGACAGAAACGCTCCTCTGCGTTGGAAAGACCAGGTGGAGAAGGACTTGGCTTCACTTGGCATTTCCAATTGCCGTCAGTTAGCACACAAGAGAAATGACTGGCGTGCTGTTTTGGACTCGGCCAAAATCGCTTAGGCGGTTACAGCGCAAATAAAGAAGAAGAAGAAGATGAGGGTCAAGTCACCGTGGAGGAAATGCGCCGTCAACGCTTAACTAGACAGCCAGCTGGGCGCAACAAGGTACTGTGTTGGAACTGTGGGGCAGAAGGCCACTTTTTAACAGATTACATCGACGAATTTTTTGTTTTAAATGTCGAAAACCGGATGTAATAACACCGAAATGTCCGGCATGTAATCCAGCGGAAAACGCCTCACGGAACGCAATTATGACGGGGAATCGCGCTCCACACAAACACCCGAGGAGTTGAGCCGCGATGCCATTTCACCTAAAAAGAAACTAAACGTTAGCATTTTCAATAGTAATATAGGAAACAAGAAGGAAGAGTTGCCCAGGAAAGAAAGTAAGCCGTCCTACGAAGAACGCCTGAGAAAGTATCTGGTAGCACGCGAACACATCTACGATGAGAGTGTAGAAATGGGACGCTGGCAAGTATCGAGGAAGGTTCAAAAGGCACGTGAGAGATTTCGACAACGGAAGATACTGTGTCCGAAAATAGTGATCCACGAGTTTACGCGGAATTAGAAATCAACTATATCCATAAACGGAGATTGCTAGATACAGGGGCGTCAGTTAGCATTCTCGGCCGAGGCTGCCGTGAGCTTGTAGAAGAATTAGGCGCATCCGTACAACGTTACGTCTCCTCCGTTAAAGCCGCCGGCGGACACTTGCATAACGTGTTAGGTAAACTCACTCCCCCCGTAAAATATAAAAATTTAGAACAGGATATAACGTTTTTTTTATGNCAACGGAAGATACTGTGTCCGAAAATAGTGATCCACGAGTTTACGCGGAATTAGAAATCAACTATATCCATAAACGGAGATTGCTAGATACAGGGGCGTCAGTTAGCATTCTCGGCCGAGGCTGCCGTGAGCTTGTAGAAGAATTAGGCGCATCCGTACAACGTTACGTCTCCTCCGTTAAAGCTGCCGGCGGACACTTGCATAACGTGTTAGGTAAACTCACTCCCCCCGTAAAATATAAAAATTTAGAACAGGATATAACGTTTTTTTTATGCCCCTATCTCGAGCAAAATATTTACCTAGGAGTAGATTTCTGGTGAGCTTTCCAGTTTGCTCCGGAGGTGATATCGGCGAATGAAATCGATCTTAGTAAACTAGAACATGATATGGTGTCCGAAGAAGACAAAAATGAGCGGCGTATTCTGCATACACTCTCACCAGAGCAGAAACAACGGTTAGAGCAGGTGGTAAGCGACTTCAGAGCATACGAAGAGCATGGGTTACGACGAACTCACCTGGAAAAACACGCCATCAAGCTGGTCGATGATGCCGTGCCAATCAAGGATCGCCACTACCCTCTATCACCAGCGATGCAGGCGATCGTGTATGAAGAGGTCGATAAGATGTAAGAATTGGGGGAAACGAGGAAAGCGAAAGTTCGTGGAGTAACCGCACCACGATCGTCTGAAAATCTGGCAAACATCGTTTTTGCCTCGACGCACGCAAACTTATCGCTGTGACGGTGAAAGATGCGTACCCGATGCAGAATATTGCAGGCTTACTTAGCCACATTGATGACACACATTATATAAGCAGAATCAACTCTGAATTTTTGCAGATTGAACTGGAAGATACAACCAAACCATACACCGCCTTCACTGTACCCGAGCGGCCTCTGTATCAATTCGTGACCATGCCGTTTGGATTATGTAACGCTGCGCAAAGGTTATGCCGACTAATGGACCGCCTTATACCGCAGAGACTCAAGGCGAATGTTTTTATATATCTGGATAACTTGCTCAACATTGCATCAGATTTCGACTCCCATATCCAAATCCTAAGCGAAGTAGCCACCTGTCTAAAAGGATTAACTAAATCAAAAATTTTGTTTTAAAGAGCTGCCTTACCTTGGGTATATTATAAGCCGGGGTATGCTTAAGACCGACCCAGAAAAGAGCAAAGCAATTCAAAATATTAATGTGCCTAAAACCATCAAACAAGTGCGAAGATTCCTTGGAACTACCGGATAGTATAGACGCTTTACCAAAGACTTTGCTACGATAGGAGCCCCTTTAACAGATACAATGAAGAAGGGTAAGAAATTTGCGATGAACATGCTAGCTTTGAAAGCGTTCAATGACTTGAAAAGAGCGCTCACGAGCGCACCTGTGTTTAGACACCTCGACTTTTCAAAGCGTTTCTTTGTCCAATGTGACGCATCCGATTACGGTGTGGGCGCCGTGCTGTTGTAATGGCGCTTGTAGCCCGGACTGCTGTTCGCCTCGGGCGATGCTTTTACTTTTTCCTACTTGCCTTTTTATGTACACTTTTACGCGTACATGTACTTGTGTTCATACTACTTAATCACAAACTTTTATTTGCGGAAATTCTTCATCATTTCCGGTGGTCGCCCTGTGTCATCGTGCTAAACACGGCTCTTGTCAAACTTACTTGAATCTCCTTTGCACAACTATGTATTTTTCCAGTCCTAGCCGACCAAACTTGCCCTATCATTGAGCCGAAGTTAAAGCTTCATCGAACAAAAATTGAGGCATTCTGATCTTTCACGTTCAAGACGCAGTGGAGCGAACACCGAACACTCCGGCTTATTAGCAGTATTAGCCTAGATTTGAATAGAAATCTAAAATTTTAGTGGCACCTGGTTCCTTGTTTTACTTTATTATTTGCGGTGGCAGATTTATCAAGGTAAGCCATTTTCATACCATTGCAAAATTGCCACCAGTGCATAAGTTTATGCATTAGCTAAATAGAAAAGAGTAAAATATGCAAATCCCCAAAACCATAGGATTTTCCAGTCGGATGCATAAGAGTACACCTAGGTACATAAATATCCCCAACGCTGCGGTTATAGTGCACCTTGCGAGACATTATACCTGTGCACATATCAGTGCCAAATCCTATTCGGGTAAATAAAAACCAATTACATATCTAATCACATAGTTACATATCGTTCCCCCTCATGGCAGAAGCAAGAATGTGCCAATTTATCAGTTTTAAGTTATTGGGTTGACTT